ACTGTGACAAGAACCCCTCCAAGTTCAAGGACGTGTTAGGTAGAGAACATCGAGCCCTTCATTTCTCGGTGTTGGTGCACACGGTGGCAGCCTGTCCCATGGGGCTCACCGTGTCGGGGGTGGGATGGAGTGACCCTTGTCTTTTGGAACTAGAGGTCCTTCGGGTATGTCCCTGTTGATTACAAAATCATCCCTTCTTCTGTCTGAGTCCAACCTCTTCACACAGGATGCTGCCGACTTGGCCACATAGCAATTTTAAGGCAAAGGACAATATTCTTGCACCATTACTGTTGTGACACATACCACTCTCATCAAAATGCCTGGAAGTCATGAACACTGTAGAAACACATTTGCTCTTTGAAGTCTCCATTCTTACATCTGGTATTTCCACATTTGCTGCCTTTGTCCTCCCTAAATCCGAAGCGTTCTCCCTGGCTAGTTTTGCATAACTCCCAGGGCGAGAGGAGACCCAGGCCAACTCATTCCCTACTCTAGAGATATTTTGAAATTCCTAATTGCTTTTTTTATTTAATTTTTTAAATGCTTATTCATTTTTGAGAGGGAGAGACAGAGCACGAGCAGGGAAGGGGCAGAGAGAGAGAGAGGGAGACACAGAATCCAAAGCAGGCTCCAGGCTCTGAGCTGTCAGTGCAGGGCCCAACGTGGGGCTCGAACCCACTAACCGTGAGGTATGACTCGAGCTAAAGTTGGACACTTAACTGACTGAGCCACTCAGGTGCCCCCCGCCTACCTTCTAAATAAATGGAACAGCCCTGAAGGTCTGTTAGAGATAATCTACAAAGTAGATAATACTTCCAATAAAGAGCTTTGGTCCTTATATTTACAGCTCTTTTAACAAAGTCGAGTTTCTGAGGCTGAGCCACTCCTAAAAGAGCAAAGAGGGGCATCTTTTAAAGTATTTTCTAGTTCAGTATGATGGAAGGCCCAAACTGTTTGTTTGTATTAATTCCACAAACAATCTTTGAGGGCAACAATTCTCGTCTGTTATGTTCCACAGCCCAGTACGATACTTACCACGTGAATGAATGCATGAAGGAAGGACCAAAAATCATTAATTACATCAATGTATATAACACATTTAAGCCATGCGCACGTGTGTATATACAAACACGTAAACACATACGCACATACGGAGGAACCGAAGGTACTTAATATACGAAAACCGTAACATCCTCCAAATGACCATTCTACTGTAAAATGTACAAGCAAGACTCATTTCCCGAAGGCCTGTACAGACCTCTGCAGAAAGGCTCTCTATCAAGACGTATGGGGCTCTCTCCATCTTAGGCTTTTCAAAGGATAAACATCCTCCATGTGTCAGCATGTTTGGATTTTCTTCATATGCTCTCCCAGTCTGTGGCGTCCTGACCCCGACCTTCTGTGAATTCTAAAACGGATCTCAGCAGCAGAGGGGTTATGTGGCTGGAAGCCCCAGGTCTGGTGCCCCATAGACGCTGTCTCTCACAGAAACTCGGCCGTTCCTGCAGGATGAGGCCCGGTGATACATGTGATCTCAGCACCGGAGCGGGCCACCTCTTGGATCTGTCTCCACATCTGCACTCGGGCCGAAGCAGCTTGCTGAGCGCCACGACTGGCTGATTCCAGAGGAATTTATCACTAAAAGATAGGGTTGTTGTCTTCAGTGAGACCCATCAACTCTGGACTCAGCGGATGTGCTGGTGGAAAATTACCAGAGTCCCTGACACTTGAGGTGGAGTCTCAGACTCCCAGAGACCACATGCATCTGGGACGTGGAGGAGACAAAGCTCCGAGAACCCTTCATTTCTCAGGCTCAGGATAAGATGCCCTTTCTCATGTGAACAAGGTCAGGCAGAAAGTTCTGGAAAGCGGTTCCCACTTTTGCAGAATACTCTATTAAACCATGCTCTTTTCACACTAACCACGTGCAGGAAGAAACCCCAGAAGACACCTTCTTCTGAGTGGCTCTCAAATACCAACCGTCAGGGCATCTCACGAGAGTCAGAAACTACTACGGTAATACGGTCACTTCCCGTGCGGAATCACTACACTGTGTTTCCTTTCAATTTGCTCGTGTTGGTTTTATTCTTGTCTTTAAAGCCCAGTTTTCAACCTTGGGTATAGAATTATACCCTTAAAATTATGCAATAAAAACTTATTCAATTAATTGAAATATGTGAATATCACTATAATCCTAATCTGTAAATTACCCAGGAATTACCGCACTTTAAGGAATGACGTAGAGGTAAAAGGAAGATATTTTTCAGTCCACATCATTTATAATCATGAAATAAATGAGAGCTGACGTGTCCGGGACCCGTGATATAACAGTTCCTCATTTAGGTGCTTGGAATGTATTATCACGTACGCTGTCTTCACAACCATCCTACAAAGGAACAGTACCATCACTCCTACTTTCAAACGAGAAAACAAAGCACAGAGAGGCTGAGAAGGCTGTCCATAGTCAAACAGCAAGTCAACCCCATGTGGTCTGGCCCCAGAGTCTATGACTGCGTGATGATCTCTCTACAGTTTCAGAACCTATGTGAAAACTCTGGGGGCAAAAAAGAGCACCGTGAACATCTTCATTGTTCAGTATAACATCTATTATACCATTATTAAAATTGCTCTTACCTTAACTTGGGCACAGAGCAGAGTACAAAGCATAAGAACTCTTCTAACTGCCGACATATTTTCCGACCTCTAGTGAGTGTTCAACACACATTTGTGGAACACATTTTGAATGCCAGAAGCAAGATACTGAGTTATGGACCCATTACTTTATGCTAGGTGCCTAAGTGAATTCTTAGCTTTATTTATTTTATTTTCAAGGATGTAAGAAAAAGGGGGGAGGGGCGTGCTTTGATTACAAATCCGCCTTCTGGCCTAAAACAATGCCCAAAGTTAGGTATGTTTTAAATGAATTATCCAGTCAAGGGAAGGACGTGTAAGTCTATCCTATACTCACACATAATCACTCTATGAGAGCAGAAAAATTATCTAAGGTCACCAAGAAATTATAAAAAAATGATTAACTATAAATTTTTTTCAAGTTTTAAGAGCCTGAATTCCAGAATAAAGAAATACAATCTTATTGTGTTCAGCATTTGGAAAAACAAAATCTAATTATTACTAAGGCGCCTGATAGCTGTTTGTTCGGAGTTGTTTGAACCAACTGATAAAACGCATCTGTCGTCAGCATAACGTCTACGTGCCAAAATGCTTGTCAAAGACAAGGGATGAGCCAAGAACACTGCCCGCTATACCCTATGGAATAAAGAGCGTCCCCTCCCCAGTTTCTCAGTGAACAGAACTGAGCTTGGACCATGGCTGCACTCTTCTCCAAAATACGTCCGACCCAGAAGCTGAACTACTCATACTGTAGTGGTTCCCCCATCTTCCTGCTTTGGCAAGTTTATCTCAATTTTATAGGCCATTTCCTGACCAAAATTTAGGAGTTATTTTAAACCACTAACCCCAAATGGTCTTTAATATCCAGGAAATAGATTTAGCCATAATAGGACACGAAACAGAAACTCCTCATGAGGAGGGCAAGCAACAGAGACCCATGGGGGGCGGGGGGCCACAGCAAGACATGGCAGCCACGCCCTGGGGGACCAGCCTCACAACCCACCTGCCCTCTGGCCCGGCCAGCCTGTAAGCAAACAGCCTGTGCACATTCTCAGCAGGTGTGTGCGTGTGTGTGCACGGGCGCGCACGCGCGTGTGTGTGTGTGTGTGAGAACAGAGTCTTAGAGATGGCAAAAATTCTGACTTAAGGTAGATAATCCTGAGAAGACACATGTCCCGTGTCCTGAGGAGAGGAAGTCCACAAGGCACCAGCATCTTCTCAACTCTCATTGGCCGAAACCCCCTCAAATTAACTCTCAAACACAGACACTCCACATATATACTTCTAGAACCTTCTTCCCACTTCTCCCCCTTCAAATGGCACCACAGGGCTAGAACTGGGATTGCCAGTGGCAACAACAACCAATAAGAAGAAAATGAGAATTGTGAGTCATTTTCAATACAACAGTTCAGCTTCTACTTGAGGGCAAACTAACGCCCAGAAGAGCAGGTGGATAGCCCACATCCTCAAGCAGCTGGCCCCGTAAGAAAAAGGAATGGACAAGACCCATGGCCTCTGGAACAGTGGCCGCACATCACCTGCTAGAAAGGCAGCTCTCAGGTGCACAATGCACCCCCAAATAAGGGACTCTAGGAGGGGGCCTGGCACCTGTGCTTCACCAAGCCCCCGGGGAGAGTCTGTTGTGAGCACAAGTTCCAGAACTACTGGGCCAGGTGACCTTCGGGGTGCCTTGATGACAGAATTACTTCACTACTTATTCCTCAGTGCTGATTTTTCATTTAACAAAGAGAATGGTGCCCAGCACTGTATAAACGCCTGGTAAACATTAACTCATTTAATCTGCATACATGTCTTCTTAGCCAGGCACCAACCACCACCATCGCCATGGTCCAGGTGAGGAAATGTGGGCGGAGAGAGGGAGGGAAGTTGCACAGGGTCCCACAGCTTGGGGACAGGTGCAGCAGGAGGGGAACCAGCACCCTTGAATTTAACCACAGTGTCCATTGCCCCACGCGGGGCTCCTCTCCAGATGCCTCTGAGACATCGCAATGGTCTTTCCAAGAAGCGGTGTGTGCACAGCCCAAGCCAAGCGTCCCAGAGAATGACACATTGCTTCTGCCTGGCTCACTGAGTCCCTGGAATTGAGCTGACCCATTCATAGACCATTACTTCTACTTAAGACATAAAGTCAGGTCAAGTATTTTCCAAATGGACATGACAGAAAATGGGCCACGTGATAGGTCCCATGACCTTTCTCTTCCTCATAAAACCTTGCATGTTAGAGGTATAAAAAGACAGAATGTTACCTTCACTCAAGCCTTTCTCCAGGAATGGTCTGGACTTGGTAAGTAAGTTTCACACAACTCGGTAATAACTCTGTGACATTCAAGTGTTACTGTATTCTTTAAAAAAAAAAAATTCTAAAACGTGACTTGAAAAATTAACGCTACTTAGGAAAAGGAGTTGCCTGCATTTTAAAATGACATTTTAGGGCTGACGCTCTTGGATGATGTAGGAATAAATACTCCTGTGCCGACTGGTTGATTGAAAGGATCCTGGTGGGGTTTTAGAATAAACTGTGGTTGTTTCTTTGTATTATAAAATAATATGCTTACTTTATAAAAAATACTGTTGCAGACGTAGCCCCCAATCTTCCACTGATAGATACATTATACACTTACATATGTATGTATAAGTATCCATTAACACTTCCTTATCAGAAACAAAGGAATAGACCAGTATAGTTATCCTCGGTTTATCTGTAACATCCTGAGGCCTGCCAAATGCCCCACGTGCTAGCTGACATATGTCAGGGAAGATTCACCTGTCCCAAGTGAAGGCACCCCCGTGGCCTGCCACCCACCTCTCTGAACCTCTTCCCATCACCCAGTGTGAGCGGCTGCCGTGAAAACTTGTGCTAACAGCTCTGGAGGCATTCCGAGTTACAACTACAAAGCCCTGGGTTCTGTTCTCCATGGAGGAATATGTTGATTTTCTAAAGCAGTCAATAAAACTTTTAACAACTTTAACGAAAACGTCAGACACAGGCATACTAGGTCTCCAAAATATTCTGCTGGGTTTGCACGACATTTATTTTAAGTGGCTAGACTCTCTCTGAGAGAGGGTACAAACAGCTCCTCCGACTGTCAGTACATGTGGAAAGCAATGGACTCCCATTACGGCTTCACCCAGACCAAGCCACAACCTGCTGTTATCGGACCCAGAAAGAAATGCCCACAGGCCACTGAGCTATGTGTTCAGTAACGAACAAAGTCATTCCCAAACTCTGAACAAAGTACTGATTCTAAGAGCAGGAGAAGATGAGGGGGGTTCAAGAACTGTCCTTCAGCAGCAGGAGGTGAAACCAACGCCACATGGCGCATGGACTATTCCTTTAATGTCCCATTGGGTGCTTTCATTTGTCTTGTGCTTCACCACAAATCCAGCAAGACTCACAACTCAGGTGACATGAAACGTTCTTATAGTGAGCAGATGAAAAATCAAAGATGTCAAAGCGAGGAATGTCACTAAACCACGGAATGAACTATTTACGTCAAGAGTTCAGCACTGTGTATATTTCCAAGTCGTGTTTAGTCTATGGTGCAGTAACTACTCCAAATTCCAAATGAAGAGGAAACACCTTTGTTTGGCACTAATTTTATTCCCGTTCCCCGACACCGCCACAGAGATGAAACACCACTCCCATGTGCCAGCCTGGGGTCCCAGCGGGGTGGAGAGTTGAATGCGACCCACAAACACTAGCACCGATGACAAGAGCTCAGTGATTTCCCTCCATGGGACAGGCGCTCCTCGCGTAGTGGGGGCGTTTTCAAAAGAAGCCGTGTCCTCCAGTGTCTCGGAATTGTCAGGGCCGTCAGACTAACACACATAAGACGATGAGATCCCAGCCACGCGGCAGTGATAACACCCCACATTTCTTGAGTTCTGACCTGCTTTGAGGGCACAACTGCACTGGGCAATGTGAAGGTTCCCACGGACATCATATTATTAGAGTAGGGACCTGAGGCTCAAAGCGATTACATCATCCCATGGAACACAGAGACTGGTCCATTGTGACAATTACCCAACCTCTAGGTTGGGGGGTCACGAAGAAGAAGGCCACATAAATTCCACGGATCCGGGCTGCGGTGGGCACGCAAACCCAATCCAAATTAAAGTGGCAATGAGACACCACGAGACACACTTACTATGGAGAATGGTCAAAACCCAACACCAACAACGCCGAGTGCTGAGGAGGGTGTGGTGGAGACACAGGAACTCTCGTTCATAATGATAACGGTGGGGACGCACAGCCACCTTGGAACACAGCATGGTGGGCACCCATAGCTGAGCATGCTTCCGCCATACTACCCAGCAATCACATGCCCAGGTGTTTACCCAAAGGAGGCAAGAACTTATGTCCACACAAAAACCTGCACTTGGATGTTCACGGCAGCTTTATTCATAATCGCCAAAACCTGGAAGCAACCAAGATACCCCTCGGTAGGTGATGGATGTATAAGCAGCAGTACGTCCAGAAGGTGGACTCTTACTCAGTGCTAAAAACACAGTAGCTATGAAGCCATGAAAAGACACGGAGGAACCTGAAAGGCGTATCCCCGAGAGAAAGAAGCCAGTGTGAAAAGGCTACGTTCTATATGACATTCTGGAAAAGGTAGCACTGTAGAGACAATAAAAGGATCAGTGGTTGCCAGGAGGGTGGGGGAAGGGAAGGATGAGCAGAGTTGCCCAGGGGATCTTGAGGGTAGTGAAAACGCGTGGTGTGATATTCAGTGACGGCGACATGTCACTGCACATCTGTCCAAACCCACAGAACGCACAACACCAAGGGTGACCCTCATGTAAACCAGACACTCTGGGTCTGGGTGACAATGATGCGTCACCATAGGCTCATCCATTGGGACAAACGGGGCGCTCTGGCTGGCGACGTTGATAATGGGGGAGGCTGTGCTCAAGTGGGGGGCGAGGGGGTGTGGGGGGCATTGTCTGCACCTTCCTGTCAGCCTAAAGCTGCTCTATAAAAAATAAAGTCTTTATTAAAAAACAAACACAAACCACCCAGCTGAAAAGAAGGGAAGGTTTGGTTAGACAGCACGTAGCCACTGTCAGGGGAATCACGTGGTCCTAAGCGGGCTCTCTGAATACCGTTAGCCTCATGACAACATGACAAATGGACAGAACCTGTGGCCGCAACGAGGCGCGGGAGCCGGAGGGCTTTGTGGCCACCCGGCCCAAGGTGCACAGACCGGAAGGGGGCCGTGGCCGTGGGAGAAGAAAGCAGGCAGGGACAGTGAAGCCCCTAGAACTAAGACAATGCAGCCTTGGGGACTGAGTGACGCGGAGGTGGGAAAGCAGAGAGGGCGAGGCCTCGGGGTGAAGCCACTGTGTCCAAGCTGAGCGTCAGGAGCCGCGGGGACATCAACAACCAAAAGACCACAGTCGGGATGGGCAGGCGGTCCGGCGTGGGTAAAAAGCAGCAAGTTGGGTTCTGAACACTCTCACTGAGTCTGAGACCAGAGCCCAGGTGACCTGTCCCACAGGAACATGAAGACCCAAGACTGGAAATCAAGAGAAAAGTCTGGAGCCCCCTTCAGGGAATGATGAGGAATCCTTCCAGGAGATCTCCCCAGTGAGAGAGGAGATAGCACGGGGAGGACAGAGGAGCCAGCTGAGCAGACCCCACGGCACAGCCAACGCTGAAGGCCTGGGGACAGGCAGGAGGGAGACGCAGAAGAAAACTAGAGGAGACCCATGTCACTGGATTGGGACCAGGAGAACAATGGAGGGAAACAAAGGCTGGAAGCAGCTCACTGGCTGCCGGACGAGAAAAATATTAACCCCAGTCATTCTTACGGGGTTCAACTCCTCAAAAGAAATTAACCATTGAAACGTGTTCTGGTTTATATCCTCTTTCATTGTACACGTCAGAATGGTAGGAATATTCTTTTGTATTGTTTTACAGTTGACATTTTTTAGTGGTTGTTGAATAATAGCAGGAAGAACAATCCCCTAATGATATTATTTTAGGCATTCTATTGTTGCTTTTGCTCACTCCACCTCAAGAATTCAAAATACCGAATGTGCTGGAGAGGCATTTTAATGAGGTTAATCCTTTTTAAATTTCTGGAACAAATGTTATAACAAACATTGTATATACTTCTGCAAAACAAGTGTCGTAACTTATTCCAGTCTTGATGCCCTCCGGATTTCTAAAAGGGATTGTCTTAGAGCCTCGCTGGTGGGTTCGACTGGTCTGCAAAACCTTTACCAGCTCTTAACCAATAACTGAACTGGTAAAGTTATGACCATCCCTACCAGTCCCAAGACATTTGCCAACAGTCTTGTTAATGAATAATGCAGGGTTTTGTGAATTCCCTCATGCCCTTGCCCAAGTGAGGGTAGGTTTTCTGGGTCAGTTCCTAAAGGCACTCCAGTCTAGAATCAGCCATCCATGCGGCAACTTTCCAAACATCCTGATGGGCCTGCAGCCTCAGGAGAGGGGACACCACCAATCTCAGGGCCACTGATGGGAGCTGGGCACTTCTCACCTCTGTTCTCTGAGACCTCGTCCCTCAGTGTCTCTACCCTTCCAGGAGGAAAGTTCAGCTACCACGTTAATAACAGAGGCAATGACATGTTGGTATCTCACAGGAGGGAGCTTTAGGCTCATTTTTAAATGCAAACCCCTGGAGGAATACGAAAGAACCTGTGGGTAGATTTATCCCCCCTTCTGAGTATAATGTACCGTAACACTCATGAAAATAATACACTGAGCTTATAATTCTATTTTCCCCTCTGATTTGGAGGTGGGATGTCCTCAGGGAAGTTTCCCTGAGTTCCCCAGAGCTGGTTAGAGGCTCTCCCGGCCCTCGATTTACCTTGACCGCAGCACTGACCAGCCTGAGTGGTGTTGACCACTCAGTTGCTCAGCACTTCTTGCCGAACTGCGAGCTTCCAGAGGCGGGGTGGGTCCCCCTCACTGTGGCCCGGCCATCACCAGGCAGAACACAAGGCATGAAGAAGGGCCCAGGGCACATGTATGGAACAAAGGAAGGGAGGGAGGGGTCCCTGGGAGAAGGGGCAAGTCTGCCAGGGCCGGAGGCGGAGGGTGAATGAGTCCTCCAAATTCAGTTGCTTAATCAAAGCAGATAAAATTGAAGATTGTCTCGTCCCTAAACCGCACTGGCTCTTTGCGTATGTGATTAATCGACACCACTAATACATCTGTGAGGGTCCACCCTTACACACTCACAATGCACACACACTCTTCCTGCCGGTTGTTACCTAGTTGTCGCATACACCTTCCTTCTGATCAAGTCTATACGTTAAGAACAGGATGGTTTGGATCATGTCTTCACCAATGGCACTCCTGAAATATTGGGCTGCTGGTGGTGTCTCTGTCATTGGGTCTAAATTGGAAATCAGCCTTCTCGTTTAAATTACATTTGCAGCAGAACACAGTCCATACTCACACGGGAACTAACTCTCACTTCATTGCAGTTCCGGGTCACTGAGTCCCAGGAGAGTGAGTGAGGGCCTGACGGTGCCAACACCACTGGGCAGGCATCACCACACACATAGGGAAGTGCACATTTCTGATCCTGAGAAATAATCTCTGAAAGGGGTGTCCCTGGGACCAGTGAGGGAGGAGTCTGAAGGCCGCGTGTGGTGGGGACACCTCCCTTCCGTCTGACTGCTTAACTGAGAACAGAGGGCACTCACGGCCATAACACGAGGGGCACAGTTTTGTCTCAGGCTTGCACCCTATTCCTCCTTTCCTGTCTCAGAAAGAAAAGCTGTGCGGGAGAGTCAGGGCAGATTCGGCTTGGGGAAAAGTCACTGGCCGATAAAACCCATCTACTAGTAAATGAACAATAGGGCCACGGCATATATGGTCAAATATAAAATCAAATAGCCTTTCATATGGGGAGTGGGGAGTGCACTTCTCACCCAGCACAGGAGGTGATGTTGGGACAGGTACAAATGCAGGTAAAAGTGTGACTCAGACACTCTTTCAAAGGCACAGGTGACCCAAGAATCATTCATGTTGGCTTCTGAGTTCAGATTTGATTGACTTACAGCACTTTGCATTCAAATGTACTTTTCAATGTATTTTGATTGGATGAGTATTGAAGTCATTTCAACTTTTTAGTAACTCTGCAAAGAAGTAAGCAAAAAATTCTTGATGGCATGAAGAGTGAAACAATTTTAAAATTAGACAAATTACTACTTTTGGATTTTTGTGTACACCCATAACTCATATCCATGTATCTCTGATTAAGCAAGGAAAAATGAAGTACAATGATAATGCCTGGTAAGTCAATGGTGATTGACCAGAGAGTGTCCATTCACACGCCAGATATCCTAAGATACTAGGCGATACCTTGTGGCTTAGAGTCAAGCCAGTGGAAAGGAATGTGCTTGGGCCTAAGAGAATAATTAAAGGGAAGTGAAAGCATCCCAAACTCAAGAGCAATGAGTTTGGTTTCCCAGGCAGGAACAGGGGTCCCTGCAAGTGAGTGGCTCATCCTTTAAAGTCCTGGCTGTTTGAAAAGCTAGCTCTCACAATTAGCTTTGCTTTGCTAAGATTTTCAATTAGACACTCTAAGTCAGAGATTCCTAGTTCCAAATTAGAGAACTTTCTCTCATTTGTTTGCCACCGAGTTTAGCAATCTCTCCTTGGAAGTCATAAATCTTTTGGTCAATATTACTGCACCCAAATAACGTGCTCTAGAGACTCCTCTTTTGAAAGTATTTTGTCACCATTACTGAAGAGCGTTTAAACCGAGCATGGCGCTTGGCCTGACTCCGGGGCTGGGAGAAATCGTCTGCAGTTAATTGCTGCTGTGATCACCAGCCTTTTCGACACCGATGAAGGAGCAGCCAGTAAAGGGTCAGGTCTGGGATGATGAGGCATGTGTGCGAACTACCGGTTTCTCCTGGCACCTAACAGTTAGCACATTTTACACCCAGTGAAGAGTGAAGCGGGGGCTGGTGGCAATCAATCCTCCAGAAGAGAAGTAAATACAAACAAACAAACAAAACCTAAGAGCAAGATTAGGATCTGAAACAGTGAGCCAGTAAGTAGGAAAAGTGGCAAGTAGCAAAATAATTTTAAATGGGGGGGGGGCGGTGCAAACTGGGCCAAGAAGCCACACTCTCCCGGGGTTTTGTCTACAAGGCTCCCCCACTGGGTAACGGCGGACGTCTTTATTCTGTCTGAGGGGAAGGGAAAAAAAGGAAAGAGCAGTACATCAAGGACCCACCGGGGCTGGGAGCCTTTACTCCAGCAAGCCGAGCTCCCAGATCCTTTCCGGGCAAACACACAGCGGAGGAAATGAAAACGAGGAAAACAATTTGTGCTTAGAACACTAAGATGTAGTTTCGCTTTGCTTTCACTCCCAGATACAACGTGGTTGTAGCTGTTCAACGTATACAAGTAACAGGCAAGGGGTCCTAACTTTTCAAGCCGCGCCGCACAGGAGCCCCACTGGTGCTCCGGCCGGTCCTCCCGCAACAGCACAGTCGTGGGAAAGCAAAGATACAGCTGTTTCCAGGCAAACGGCCCAGAACTGTTCAGCATCAACCAGCAGAGTCGCCCAAGAACGGGAGAAACACGCCCAAAGCGACTCCCGGGCGCAAGTGTGGGGCTGTGAGCGGCGTGGGCGCGCGTGCCCTGCCCACCGGGCCGCGGCCCACCCGGGGGCGCCCGGGGCAGGTGAGGGCGCCGGGCCGCCGAGGCCCCCGCGCTGCGAGTTCAAATCCCAAGGAGTCCCGGGCACGGGGCGCACCCCGCTCGGCTGCGCTCGCCCGGGGCGCCGGGGACTCGTCCACCTCGCCCCCACCCAGCCCACAACAAAGGAGGTTCCCTAACGGATGCGCCAGCGCAGCCCACCGGGAGTCACCGGCGGGGACCGGCTCGGAGAGGGCACCCGGCCGTGCCCCCGCGCGACCTCCCCCCCCCACCCCTGGAGGGGCGGGCGGCTCGGTCCGGGGACAAAGGGGCCGCGCGGGGCGCGACGCCGGGGCGCGGGGCGCGACGCCGGGACG